ACAATTTCAAGCCACCACTTAACAAAGACAAAAAAAAAATAATTACACCTAAGTTTCATTATCATTTTCAATCGTTCATTGCCTATCAACAAACTGTCATTGCTGGATATATTATCTACTTACTGCATTTCCTTGAATAGGCACCACACTCTAGAAATTGTCCCCCTTGAATAAATGCCCCCTACCCTCTCTACCCTCACTTTCTCAATTAGTGGGATCTAAGGTATACCTGTTTCTAGTTACAAAGTGTCTCCCCACAATTAAGTGCCCTCCTTTCAATAAGCACCCCTCCTTTTAGCCTAGATCTTAAATAAGCACCTGGGCACTTATTCAAGGACATACGGTAACAGTTCTTATTTCACTTACATTTGAGTTATTATCAAAATCATATGGTAAATTCATCATTTTTACATGAACATGCTCAACAAATAGACTCCATGTTACTGTAATTCTGTTTAGCAATAGATCACAGATCATGTCAAATGTTGTGGGAATAAAAGAGAAGCACATGAGGTGCAGCCGAGTGTGTCACTGACAGTCTTATCACACTTTGACATCCTCTATGAGTTATTACTGTACAGACCCACAGCTGAATAAAATCTATTTGTTTCAAATGATAAAAATGCAAAATGCTGTCAATGGCGATGTCATCTATACAGACCTCATGTTCCAAACTTGTGTATTCTCCTTCTGTTTGTTCTCTAATGATTATCATATCTATATCAGTGTGCCTGGGGAACACAACCACACATGCAATTAGTTACTAGAATGACAGTATGAAATTAAGATATACACTGACACTACCACTGGAAAAGTTGTTAAAGGGAATAAAATGAGACATCTAAAATGAAAACAAAAACAATATTCAGGTTATCAGTCAATAACTACCTGGTTTTGTACCCCGGGAGGCTTTTACAATGAACAACATTTGCAAACAAGTCCAGTTCTGTTCTGCAAGGAAAAAATATTCAGACAGTAAATCATAATTTGTAGGAAAAAGTTACTTGTTATGACAGGCAGTCCTAGGAAAGCTCTTTAATCTCATTTGATTTACTTTATTATAACTTGAATCATTTAACAAGTGCTATGGGCCAATTCCCTCTGGGTAACAAGTGATTACACAATGACATGGAAATGTAACAGGTGGAGGTATCTATGCTATACCTGCCTCAAAAGATAACAACTGCCCAGCTGATGATGACTGAGTTTTAGCAACTCTTTTCCTATCAGGTGTTCAGTGTACGTGTATCACTTGATGACTACAACTCTGTCAGTAACTTACTTCATTTTTTGATTGAGAGACAAGTGATCTTGACTTGAGATACTTGATGGTGTGGTCAGTGCTCCTAGAGAAACAACAGCCATATCAACTCAAATTTAATATAATTATCATAATAATTATAAACTAAAAGGACTAACCACCTTGATGACATTGATATTGCTATTTAAAAGGAAACTTTCGAACAATGCTGATCGCAAGGCTTTGCCAAACAAATCTGTTTGATGTACAGCACAATCACATGATGTACTTGTTCAAACCACTGGACAGACAGTAAAAAAAATCACAAACAAACACCAGAAAAGATAAGCACTGTTGAATAAAATTAAAAATTCCTATCTGAGACCTAACTACACTTGGTAAAAAAGAAAATTTAATGAAAGAAATTGATTGCAACAGCTCCAGGAAACAACATGTATTAAAAAAAGGCATAGAGCACAAGACAAAAGTCAACAATACAGCAAAGTTATACAAATTTTAAAGAAAAAAAAATTGAGGTAAAAGTGTGAGGTACTTGATTATTTACTCTTACCTTTTAAACCTACTCCAGTTTTCTTCATTGATTGGACGACATCATCCAGTGTGTATCTGCTACCATAACTCATATCACTGACAAGAGAGCAATTAAAGTCACAATTGTTGATAATATTAATAATGGTTATAGGACCATGTGGAGTCCAATTCAGTCTGTAATCATACAAGTGACAAACAAAGTTGGACCACCACAAAGGGAGAGTCCAATTTGTTAGTCATGAGTATGAAAACAGACAGAAATGGATGACACAAAGTCCTGTTACCAACTAATCAAAACTACAACAAAATTTAAGACATAAACTAGACGTTTTCATAAAAAATAGCAAAAGTAACTCTGCAAAATTCAAAACAACAGCATGCACACATGACGTGTTCTGTCCGATTACACAGGCATGACATGTTAACTGTCCTATTAAACTGGCCATTTACAAGCATGATGCTCAAATTGGGCTGATGATAACCAATCACATCCAAGATTTTTTTTCACAGTTTTGATTAACAGTATAACTATTATAACATGAAAAAAGTCTGTACTCAAGCAAAATGGTATATCCCATTTATACTCCCAGGTGGAGATAGGCACTGTGTATTGCCAAAGAACACAACACAAAGGTAGAACCTGGTCAAGTCTTAAAAACAGACACCTCAACATGAATTTCAGTGTACTAACTATAGGGCTACTGTGTCGCCTACAATTATTATAACAAAGTTTATGGGAAATAAGTCTGAATGATGACATATCATAGAAATCTTCTTTTAACCTGCAAGATGGTATTACAAAAAATAGCCTTATTTTAAAGTTATGTGACTGACATGTCTTACCTAACTGGAATTTCATCCCAGTCCACAGGAGCTCCAGCAGCACTAAAGAAAGGCAGAATGTAAGATAAAATAAGTATGGGCCTGGGTCAAACAATTTAACAATATTAACTTGACCCCTATTTTAACTCTAAGAGAAAAGGTAAACCATGATCATGTTAATTCTAGCTTTTATTGAAATGATTACACAGACTTTACAATGAAAATTACCTACTAAATAAACTTTATTTGTCAAAGGGCTGGATCAATGGGAATGGAATGATAAAATGAATCTTGAATTTTGACTGGTTACTCAAGCAGAGAAGATGGATCAGAATTTTCCACTGCATTTCCATTGGAAAAAGGCTTACAAGCCTTGTAACTGGCTTAAAATACTGGTTTAAATTCTTCTTGTTATTGGTACATGGAAAAAAAGGTTTGATGGGAGTTATAGTAATAACAAAGTCACAAACACATCTTTTGATAGTCAAGGTTTTATAGATTTATCTGGCAATTCTTCTATGCGATCATTTTGTCATATAAGACATTCTTTAGTGACAGAGCTTGATCAGTCGAGATGGCTGAATAAAAGCTATGTTTTCCATGTCCTTTTGAACCAAGAAAAATGACATTGTGCTTATTTACATGTAAAAGAGGAAATGTATTTCTGAATTAAATTGGAATATTCTCTGAAGCATTTTAGACTTAATTATTTTCCTTAGGGATGTTACCTGAAGATTCTTTTTACACTGTATACAAGTTCAGGTCCAACTCCATCCCCTGGGATCAGTGTCACCATGTATCGGCCTTGAGCTTGTGTGAGTGGCTCAGATGCATTGCTAAATGATCTTGTCTTACACCAGGCAGCTGGAAGAAGCTAATAAGAAAAAAAAACTTCAAGATTACACAAATGTATACCCACACTTAAAATTAAAACTGATGACCATTTCTCCATTTACTTTATCTTAAATCACGTGTCACATCAATATAATGATTTTACCAGTAGCCCAAGACTCAATCCTTCCTATACCGGGGCACTGGGTGTTAATGTGATTTTGCCAACAAAGCTAGAATATTAAGAAGTTTCCTTCCTTCTCAGTGTCAACCCTTTAAGCCCCAACATCAGTTTGCATATTCTCCATTCTTTTCTCTACACATTTCCTAAGGTGCTGACATGGAGGAATTTGTTCAACAATCAAGAGCTTCTATAGTCAGTGATCGTTTCTTTTAATCTCATGACCTTAATGTGTGATTCAGAGGTGATATTGTAAGGAGAAATTACATTCTAGTCACTCTAAAGGGTCAAAGGGTTAACCAAACATACAAACTGCCGCTGATTTCCATGCAAATTACAGAAAACTATCTTAACATGCCCCAACATTTTTTAGAGCATGTTTTATTTCAAACACTTAAGGTAAGACTAGCCACAAAATAATCTTAATAATCCCTACTACCCTGAAACCAGGACAGATTGATCCATTACACACAATTTAGGTTTGGTTTCTAATGGTAAAATATTGATAATACCCACAATCATAGAAAAACTGATCTAATCATAATAATACTCTGGTCTGGTTAGAAAAATTGGAGGGATACAAACCCTCCTCAGACTACATTAGTATGGTCAGGGTGAGTTGAATTATTTTGTTAACTAATTAGGAACCACTTCAATAAATGAACTTAAAAGAGAAAAACATCTGCCTTTGTCAGTTAAATACATCTAAGATGAGCATTATGATGGGTGAAGTGGATCACTGTTCTCCTGGCAGGTATACAATCAAATAGATTAGTTAACCCTTTAACTCCCGTGAGTGACCTATTGAGATAGAATTTCTCCTCACAAGTAATAATATTATATCAAGCAGACAAGTGATGAGAAGGGAAAAAATATCAACAAGGAGGTTAAAAGTTAATACAAAACTAAATTCTCCTAACTAACATCATGAGAATTGTAAGGGAAACAGTAAGGAGAATTACTGATGAGATCTTGAGTGTGAAACGGTCAAGAGCACAATATTGACAAGATACAGAACCTGGGTAAAAAGCCGTTTCTTTCGACCCATTTTCTACCTGGGTCAAAAAGGAAAATACGATTTAAATACTCTATAGCTTTGCAGGGGAAACACACAACAGATGGCGGTATGATCTCATCATGTAATATTTGATGTTGATATCAGGCTATGATGCTGTACATTTCAGCAGATTTCAGACAAGCCATTTTTACGATCATGCAAATTCATGAGATCTTAATTTGATTTTGATCTATTTGAAATAAAATGAAATCTTTTTCGGAACTGCATACCACCTGAAAACTCCGTGTCAACAAAATCCGGTTTGTGAAACGGGACAACTTCATAGCCGCCATGTTGATACGTTTTCCGTGAAATTCCAGTAGTATTACATGGATTAAAATACAACCGCTGATGAGGTGCCTTGAATGTTCATACAATTTTTTTCGCGGGAAATAATGGCGGCTATTCCAACTATAAAGAAGCTTGACGAAGCTGTTGTTAATCGTATTGCAGCTGGAGAAGTAATTCAAAGACCTGCAAATGCACTGAAAGAAATGATAGAGAACTCACTAGATGCAAAATCTACATCTATAACGGTGACGGTGAAGTCTGGAGGATTGAAACTTCTGCAGATACAAGACAACGGATGTGGAATCAGAAAAGACGATATGGACATCGTCTGTGAGCGCTTTACTACGAGCAAGCTCACGAAATTTGAAGATCTAAGTTCCATTGCAACTTATGGGTTTCGAGGGGAAGCACTGGCGAGTATAAGCCACGTAGCTCACGTTACTATCACCACAAGAACTGCACAATCCAGCTGTGGTTACAAAGCGTCTTATTCAGATGGGAAACTTGTCTCACCACGACCTGGCATGTCTGCAGATCCTAAGCCTTGTGCTGGCAATAAAGGCACCCAGATCACTGTGGAGGACTTATTTTACAACGTATCAACGCGAAGAAAAGCGTTGAAAAGCCCCGGTGAAGAATTCGCAAAGATCGCTGACGTGGTCAGCAAGTATGCTATACACAATTCCGGGGTCGCATTCACTTTAAAGAAACAAGGGGAGAACATGGCTGCTGTGAGAACTGCCAGTGGTGCGTCGATTTTGGACAACATTCGTACCATTTACGGAACAACAGTTGCGAGAGAGCTGTTGGAAGTGAGCTGTGAAAACCAAAGATTTGCTTTCAAAATGCACGGTTACATTTCCAATGCAAATTATTCGGTCAAAAAGCTGCAGTTCCTGTTGTTTATAAACCACCGTCTTGTTGACTCCTCGGCAATGAGGAAGGCCATAGAATCATTGTATGAAGCTTACCTGCCCAAGAACAGCCATCCGTTTGTGTATCTATCTCTGGAAATTTCACCCAGCAATGTTGATGTCAATGTCCACCCCACTAAACATGAAGTGCATTTCTTGCATGAAGATTCCATCATAGAAGCAATACAACAAACATTTGAAGAAAAATTATTGGGGGCAAATTCATCCAGGACATACTTCACTCAAACTCTTCTTCCTGGAATCTCTGTGACAGACACTTCTGCAGGTTGGTGCCGTGCATTTTGAGTTTGATTGAAAATCCAAATCAGGGTAGGATGAACCTGCATATGAAAGAGATGGGGACAGGGTTCTCTGAATATACCTTTTTTAAGGCACCTGCTACCTTTATTACTAGCAAACAAAAGTTTTAATAACCTGTTTTGGTCTAAAACAAAATTCAACCCTTTCCTGCCAGTTATTTGTTTACCTTCATTCCCAAGATCTCATTAGTACTGGTAACACTACAATGTTAGCACATAGAATTTGGTATTGGATCAACTAATAATCTGTTAATTGATGTTTTTCTTTATTCTTATTACTTGTCTGGTTGATATGGTATTGATATTGAAAGGAGAAATTCTATTTCAATCACCTATGGAAGTTAAAGAGTCAAGGCTGGTTATGCTCCTGGGTCCAGTTCTATAAAGGGGCAGATAACACTATGCGATGGATAAATTTCTATCCAGCAGATAACAGTTAACGAAATGTACTGTACTATTCACTGGATAGCAAATTATTCAGTGGATAGCTGCATCTGACATTCTGACAAACAGGGCCTGGGTAGTATTCCATGCTGAGATTGAATTGGTTATCATCGCATGTGGAAAACTTTTTGGAGATTATATTGCTGCTAAAAGTTGCCAGTTTTGTGACTTGTATTTGGCAGTGATAAAATCTTTTTGTTACTAAGCGTTTGTGGCCCAAAATAAAAAGTGAGATCAACATGAAGATTTATTGATACTAGGTAAATGCTCTATCAATTTTTAGTAACAAAATAGTCAATTTTTCCATGGTTGTTGGGAAATTAAGCCATGAGATGAAGTTGCAAAAATGACTGCCAGCTCACTGTCTCAAACCAATATCAAACTGTTTTGATTGTTATGTGTTGTACTGCTGAGAAAGAATTAACAAATTCAGAAATGGCTTTTAGAAATTATTTGATCTTACATTATATTTTTTAAAACTGTTTTTGATTTTCTGTCAAATTTGTTTCAGTTACATCTGTTGAGGGAGAAAAATCTAATGGTGCAAAAGTTTATGCTCATCAGATGGTGAGAACTGACAGCAGAGAACAAACTCTCCATGCATTCCTGCCTCCTAAAGATCATCCTGTCAAATCAAATGAATCTAACAAGTATGTACAAGGTTAAGTGTATGTTACAGCAGTTGGTGTGTATATTTGACAAGCAATGTGTTACACCATGGGATGATGAAAGAGGGGTGACTTTTAATGAAGATTTCTAACAATGTCAAATGTTAAATGGCCTTTTCCCTGTCTGAGGACTATTTCCTTATTCATTTATTAAATCCTCCAATTTTAGTTGACACAGATTTAGTGGTGCACACTGTAATCCAAGCCAATCTATAATCATAGGCAGCCACTTCTTCCCATAGACTCTTGAAACTTAAAGAGATAAATTTGTAAGGATTCCCTCAGAGTATAAATCTCTCGATCACTAGAATGTCACATTGAAACATAAGCATGGCTGATAAGTGTATCTCCCCTTTACCTAAATTACAGACTGAAAAGTATAGATAATAAGCAAATTTTTCTTGATACCAGTTACCCAATTCAGTAGTAGTTTCTAATATTATGCATGCATTATTTTTTAAGCATTTCTCAGCTCTCCAGTGGTAGAAAACACAAAGCTATTGCTATGAACCAGAATCCATCTTCAACCATTATAAACCTTGATGAGGAATGTTCTGCTTCCCATTCAGTTGATGAGGACTTCTCTGAGCAGCCTGCAGGTATTCATTCAGTTTATGAGACATTTTATAAAATTTTTAACCTTTGACCCCTAAGAGTAATAAGCATCTTATTTCTCCTTGCAATATCACTCCTGAATCAAATATTAAGGGCACTAGAATAAAGGAAATGACCACCAACAAAAGAAGCTCTTGATTGTTAAAAAAGTTCTCCTTGTCAGCACCATAAGAAATGTGTAGGAACATTATTAAGAATATGCATACTGATATCAGGGTGTTGTCTAAGTTGAACCAAATCACAATATCATCTGGGTGAGAGAAGTCCTGAGAAAGACTATTATCGGTAAGATAGACCTGAGTTTTGACAGCTGTGATCAATGCCCTCCCTTATTTTAAGCATGACAGGAAAAAGAAATTTTCAAACCTAGAGAGAAATCCTTTTACCTGTTGAGTTTTCAAGAATTCCAAGTGATTTTAAGCAGTAAGAAGAGGTACCACGGGGGTACCACGTCAAAAATAACACTAGATCCAGATAAGGATAAGGATCACCTAGAACAGTTTCTTTCTAAAGGTAGGATCCACTTGTAAGAAGTAGTAATAGTCCAAGTTAGATTATGTACAGAAACCTGAATACTCATAAGCTCTGGAAGCTGGATAGGTCAGTCCAGTATGCATAGTCTAATTGATTTTACTTTCAGGCTCAAAAAAGCCAAGATTGGAGGAAAGATCTGAAAATGCAAGAAGTACCAGCAGTTCAGGAATTTACCGAGAAATTAGTCTGACCAGTGTACTGAATTTGCAGAAGGCTATAGATCAGTCTGAACACAAGGGAATGAAGGAGCTTTTTGAAGACCACAAGTTTGTTGGCTGTGTCAACAAGTCACTGGCTCTTGTTCAGCACAGCACAAAACTGTACCTTGCCAACATCACAACCCTCAGCAAGGAACTTTTTTACCAAATAATCCTCTTTAAATTTGGCAACTTTGATTTTTTACGTCTGTCAGAACCAGCACCAGTGCTTGATCTTGCACTGTTGGCTTTAGATTGTGAGGAGAGTGGTTGGACAGAGAATGATGGCCCCAAAGATGAGCTGGCAACCTACATTGTTAACTTGCTGAAGGAGAAGAGAACAATGTTGTTGGACTATTTTTCTTTGGAAATAGACAGTGAGGGTAATTTGTTGACATTGCCTGTTCTGTTGGATGGTTACGTACCAAATCTGAATGGACTTCCTATGTTTGTTCTTCGTCTGGCTACAGAGGTTAGCAGCAGAATAATGTTATTCATATGATTTTGTTGTTTTCAACCTTGCATATGAAAGAAAGTGGTCATATGTACCCAGCATTTTTTTCTTTCACTTCAGATATTTTAATTTTGCCCCAGGAAGAGAGAAAAATGTAGATGACACTTCACTATGGGAAACTTACCTTTTGAATGGTTTGAAAATCAGTACTCACTCCTCCCTGAGATCAATGGCAAGTTTTCTACTCCAAAAAAAAGAGCCCAAACTCTAATTTTCTCGTTTACAGCTGCAATGCTTTTTTTTCAGACAATTACTGATGAATAAACTCCAACATCTAAGCATATTAGAATTAATCCACCTTTTCTGCACAATCCCAACCTTTCTAGGTGGACTGGGATAGTGAAGAACCCTGTTTTCGGAGCTTTGCACAGGAGTGTAGCAGATTCTATGCATTTAAACCAGACCCTTTTCAGGCTGATGACAACTCATGTGAAGATGACAATGAGGGAATTGATGCTGCCATGGCAAAACCATCATCATCATGCCATTCATGGCAGTGGACTGTGGAACATGTGTTATTTCCTGCCTTTCGAACTGGTCTTATGCCTCCTTCCCACTTTTCAGAGGACGGAACTCTGCTTCAAATAGCCAACTTGCCAGACTTGTACAAGGTGTTTGAAAGATGTTAATGACTAAGGTCAGCATTTGAAAAAACTCTTGGGTTGTAATAATTTGTTTGGGTGCGGAGATAAATCATTCTAGAATTTGAAAAGTTATTGGCTTGGAGTGTTAAATGTAATCCAAGATTACTTTATTTTGGTTTACTTTGCTCTGTGGTTGTACCATTCTCTTAGCCAATCAGATGCAAGACTAAAACCAATTAAGAACAGGTTGTTAGTGTTTTCCTGCACTTTAGGCAGTTTGGTTGTTTTTCCTTTGAGTTCTCATTGGCACCTAAAGGTTTTTTCCTTTCTTCAGATTGGTAGTTGTGATTGCCTTGGGTTTGGTTTCAATCAAAAAGTTCTCTAATCAGCAATTTAATTCTTTGTGTTTCAAGAATATTTGGGTTTGAATTGTTTGCCAAGTGCTCATCAAAAATCATAACTGTTCTGGCATATTGAACAAGGATTCATCAGTCAATACCTAATTCTTACAGACTGATCATTTAATTACAGTCTTTGTAAATTTCATACCCAACCTTCATATATTTCACTACCATTATTTTCATCTTAGTTTGGAATTGAAACTGAAAAAACGTGCTCTTATTGGGTGAAAACTTTGGCTTCAAAGCTTGAAATTATAGGTGATATTTTTTGGTAAACAAATATGCTGAAAACAAGGGGAAAAGGTATTAAATTAAGTTGTAAGCATAGCATTTTTTGTAAGTTTCATGCATAAAGAAACAAGGTATAAATTAAGTGGAATGGTCTATCAACCAAAAGTTTACCACCTTGGAGTTTGATGTACAGTACCGCTCACGTATACATTAACCGAAAAATGCAAATTAAATGTGCCAAAAATCGCATGCAATTGCGAATAAAAAAAATCATGCGTGTCAAAAAATCGTACATGAGTGCATGATTTTGAGACATCAACATCATTAGTATGTATTTGCTGCTTTTTCAAACCTAGAGGTCCTTTGTTTCATACAACAATGAAATACAAAGGAAACTTATAGCACTGAATAACAAAGGCACATGAATCACGCATTTTTTTTGACCGTGCATGCAAAAAAATTGTATATACGTGTCTGACTACCCTGCGTCAGAGCATATGAAATTCGTCTGCACAGTTAACGTATACGCAAGTGGTTCTGTAAGATCTTGATGTTTGTTACACAGAAGGAATGACTCAAGTACATCTTTAAGTACGTGAGAACTGGCTCACTCAAGGAATGTCTTTATTTACTGAGTTTCTTTTTCTATATAAAAAACCCTCCGGGGCAGTGGAAATTACCCCAAATTACCCACTTCTCTTCTGCATCATGCAGTGCACTATTTTTCTGACTAAGCTTCATTTAAGGTGAAATAGCTTTTAATTTCCTACCAAAGAGTATCTAAGCTTTTTTATGGTACACATAACATAAATAAAATATTAAATTGTTTATTCATTTTAATAAAGCAATTGCTGTTGATTGTCAAATCATTCAACATAATCTGCTGATTTGCTGAATACTCTCTCTTAGTAAACCATAAATCCCATGAAATGGAAAATATATTCTACATCCAATTTACATATTGACTATACATTGTGTATCATTATACAGCTGTAAGTTAAAGAGGGTTCAATTAACCTGTCTGGCCATAAACCTTATTATTAATTACAAATTATATAAAACTCTTATGTGATAAATAAACTTAAAATAAGTGATAAAATTGAATCTCTGCAGTCTTCATCTTCATCTGTAGCTGTATGCACACTAGTATGGAAATGTATTTAAATTTGTTGTGGTTGGGAAAATTTTTAGTATCTCTGTAAGTTTGGCACAGGGTTAAATAGAAACTGCACAAAATCTGAAATAGTTTTTTCATTGGCCTTGGCTGTAAATATTTAAAGTTTAACTTACTGATGCTGTGAGTGAAAAACTAATACAGCATAACTCCATCTACAGTGCTTATCTCATGCTTTTTTGTTTTGAAGCAATGCGTGCAGTGAACCTTTTTCATCAAAATAATTGTTGGACAGATAAGTATAACACCAGCAGCACCTAATAAAATCCAGAAAGAATATCCCAGTTGAGCTTTGTCGGTGGAAGAGAACCCACGGCTTTGATCTTGGGGCTGTAGAACATTTTTCTTCAGTTGAAGTTCAAATAATGCAGCAAACAGGCAGGCAGATGTCATTACAAAGAGAACTGAGATAAGGAAGAAACATACTCAAGTCAGTACTTATGTCAAAAAGAATGTTGCATAAATGTGAGTACATTATTTCATGATTTTTGGTTAGGAATGATATCTAGTAAGTTCTTGCCTAATGTAAAAAATCCTTTCACAACATCACAACTGACTATAAACAAGGAGCAGTTTATGCCATTTTTATGCCATCAGTTTCTTGTGCTTCCATGGTGCACTTTATTTGGTACACTTTTCAATAGTTTGGAAAATTCTCATATGTTTTCTTTGAATCGGTCATTACATAAATAATTATGACAAACAAGCCAAGCTTGATGCCTTCATATAAAGTATATCAGTATGTACATGTACATGTTATTTTTCTTCAACAAATTAATTGTGATAAAAAATATACATTGTGTAGTCAATCAGATGCAAGTTTAAAATAAAAATTACCACAACTTATCACCCACAGCCTGATGTGTATTTGCCTTTTTTTCTGACTGACAACGACAATTACTTTGGATTTGATGATACTCAGTTGAAAAAAGCTCTAATTAAGAAATACTTACATGCAACTCCACAACAAATGTATATCCCAATAGTACCACAGATAGTTAGGTTTGGCTTGGTAAACTCATTATAACAGGAAAGTCCAATCATGATGCAGATGACAAGTAAACTGAGAATACAGAAGCCCACTGTTGCCCACATTACATTATCATTAGCCACACCTTCAAATTCATCTTTGACTGAAACAAGAAATAAGAGGGCCATGTTGTTGTTTTGTGGCCAAGCTTATGATTGACAAATAACTAATCCAAAACTTAAAATTAACCCTTTCACTCCCTGAAATAATTAACATTTCTAGTGTTCTGATTGGTACATTCAACTCTGGTTATTAGCTCATATTGCAAGTCACCTTATATGGAAATGCATTGCGCCAATTGTTATGAGGCTGAAGAAAAGCTCCAAATATCTAAATGCTCAGGATTTAATGAAACTTGATGAAACAATTAAATCCTATTTGCACTTGTTGGATGCAAGATTGGTTAGGCCAACTCATATCCAATGTGTCTTGTTGGTTACCACCATTTCATATCCAATATGCACTCATGGAATAATTGTTAATCGTCCAGCAAACAGGTAATGAGAATACTTAAAATTTTCACTTTTTCCTGACAAAATAGGGATTTTTTTACAACCAGAAATGCTCTTAGCTATGCCCTGAATCTTTAAAGAAACACTCAATATAATCTTCACACCACATCATACACATTCTGTACTTTAATTTGCACCTTCAACCTTATTTTAATCCAAATATATCACATGTTTGGCTTTCAATACTACTTTTCCATCTTGAAATTTTCCAGTAGCCTTGCAGGTGCAGGCTTGAATGGTTTATTTAACTTTACAATTACAAGAGAGAATATATCCATTATTTTGTCTCTGATTCCACAAAGTGACAAATGTTGACTAAGGTAATACTTGAGGCTATGACAAATGAAAATTATCTGGAGACTGAATACACTGATTGTAAAAAAGGCCTGGAAATTTTTTTTCCCAGGTATTGCACAACCTGTCAGGAGATGTTTGTAAAAACCTTCAGTTATTGTGAGAATCGGTTTGTTAAGGCAGGTGGCTGATAGTCCTCATACTTAGTAGTCAAAATTATCTTCAAAACCTGACTCCCTTGATCTCCCTTTGAGACAAACAAAACAGACCCTCATTTGCATCGACAATGCATTCTTTGATTTCGGAACCAATTTTTTAATTTTTTATCGAGCTTGCCTCATCTTTTTCGTCTTATTTTTATTTACAGTATAATGGTAGCGGATAATTTAACTTACATATATTGTCTCAAGACCTTGACGAAACACACATTTTTTTTTAGCAAAACATTTTAGTGTTGAAAGCCACTATTTCATGCTTTATACACACACTCAGGTTCTTCCACGAAAAGATGTAAATTTTCGGAGATACAAACGCTTGGTAGTTTAAGTGCTTTGGGAAAATTTACTTAGCAACCAAATTTAATACCTCGCCCGTAGTTGCGATGTCAGCAGGTATTTTTTCTTGAATAAGGATTCTGTGAGCTTTCGACCATAAATGCTAATTTTATCACTTTTTCTGTCAGTGCATAAAAAAATTTCTAGAATCATTTCTAGACCGATCAAAATGCTACATAGATATTTTGATGTGATTTGTTCTGTAGTTTGAGCTGTACCATTAAAGATTTAAAGCGATACAACTTCTGTATGGTTATAAACATCTCTCGATTTAAAAATATTAATTTTTTAAAAAAAGATAAGTTTTACCTTCAAAGTCTCTTTCTCTAGCGCCTAGTCCAAAATCCTGCTTGCTTACCCCTTTAAACATTCCAAAATGTTTCGATCCTCCTGTCTGTGTCGAATTGCCGACGCGACGTTCTAGGTTCGCCATAACCCAGTATTCAGAAAGCAACGCAGCTACGATCATCACAAACGCTATAAAAGCCAAAACTGCTGCTATAACGGCTGCGCCACTTCGTTTGAAAATGGTCGCCATATTGACAAAACCGAATTGAGGTGTACTTGAAGATTTTCAATTAACGTGGCTATAGTTGTTTTCTTTTACTTCCAAAAGATATCATCGTTTTGGCGCGGACAAGTGGACACACTGAGCTAATAAACAGCACGTGTGGACAACCAATCGCGTGACACTTGTAAGTCCCGATGCCCGTCCCGCAAAGAATAAAAAATATATTGTGCTCGGGAGTCATATATTACAAAGCTTGGGAACTTTAAGATCTGAACAGCTCTGGTTAGCAATGAAATTTTCCTTGGAAAACAGATATGAAAACAGGAAATATCCATGAATTGAAATCCTAAACAAATTTAGTCGCTGTCGCTGGGTTCAGGCGCCGAGAACGTCATATGCAGGTCAGCTTGCCTTCGATCTCGAAGGGCGGGTCTTCCCCAGATTGCATCGGGAGGGAATAAAGTTTCAACATCGATTTTTTTTCCTCTCCTTTCTAAGTTATAGTTTAAATTTTACGCTGTAATTAAGCGCCCGGCAGCTGGGCACGGTCTCAAATAGACTAAATAGTCACAGCCTAGGTGTTGTTTGTCTGTAATGTTGATCTCTCTAAGATTTTGGGTTGATGACGGTTATTAATCAATTGTATAAAGGACAAAGCACAACATTTCAGTTCGGAGAATTGTGTGGCAACTGCTCTTTAAAGAGTCTTATGACTCACAACCTGCTGGTGAAGGCCAAATGACAGACACTCTCCTCTACAATTAACTCTTAGCGCTGATTAACATATAACCTTTCTTTTTTATATAATTGCGTCATTCAATAAACAAGCGGCGGGAAAGGAAAAAAATTATTAGCCAGATATTGTTATCCTGATATAAACTAGCCTGCAGAGCGGGCGTAATTTTTGCCCGGCGAGTGGTGAAAATTATAGCTGTCGTCTTCGATTTTTACAGCAGTGGAAAGCTAGGGAGAGAAATAAAGTTGTACCAAAGGGGTGAGTGAAGGTAAAAAAGTGGAAGAGGGGAGGGGGTGGGGCAATGAAATTAAAATGACCGGTTGAACAAGCAATCGCGAGCTTTAACTTGCCCTAATAAGACGCCTGCACTGCAAGCTAGATATTAACCCATTAACAAGGAAATCTAAGGCAGATAGAAGGGAAAATTATAAAGCAGATCTTCGGAGTTGAAACCACCAAGATTGCAAATAGAAAAAAGGCAGGGCGTAAAGGGAAAGGTTTAAGGCTTTTAAAGATATTTTTTTAATTGGAAAGGCTTAAACTTTCAAGTAAGTTAGTGCAAATGAAAATTGAACTAAATTAAGAACATAATGTGAGTATAGTGTGGAGGTAGAATAAGGTATTGTCCATGATAACTGCATGTATTGTAATTTTAGTGACTAAGAAACGTTAACGATTTTATCACAAATAATATATTTTAGTAATAAGCTCCTGATTTTAGGTAAAGCACTCTAAGTTATGTTTTGTAAAAGAGAGTTAAGGTTTTGTCAGAAATATATAACGCTGTTTTGTAATAAAATGAAATTTTAAAATTAAGTCAGCAAATATTATTCCCCTCCACACTTCCACCCCCTCTACTGCCAATTGAATTAATTATGTGAAAGCAAAGAACAGCTACCCTCCCCTCGGCAGGAAGTCAACTGTTGACCGACATATTATACCGACATATTATACTGACATTTAACCGACAATCAGCCAAAAATCTGCTGACGAACGGCCGAAAGTCAGCCGGTAGCGGATATTCTTCACCTTTACCACAAATCAAGTCTGATAAAGAAAGAGGCGTGATAAAAAGTTCGTTATTCCTTTCTCTAAATAGCGCTCAAACGGCATTGGCCCGTTTAAATGCCTCGCAAAT